GCAACAAAACACAATCAGGAGAGTTGTGCTACAGGTGGTCGAGGAGGGAAGGCCTTTGCACCTAGCAACTTTATCGGGCTGTCTTCTAGCTCAGCAAAAGTCTGTAACATTTCATCTTCAGGAATTAGAGAAAGAATGGGGGAGAGAAGCTTTTCAGTCTTTTTTCTTGTTTGCCTTTTACATAAAGCCTAGCACACATAAAGTGGTATAAAAACAGAAGCTTGCTTCCACTATAATGAGGACTGCCACCCTGCAGAGCAAGTAGCACTCACAGAAATGCACCAGTTGGTCTTAGCTAGTCCCATCTCTACACAGGACAACACAATAAGCTCTTGAAACAGAAAATGCTAGACAGGCAGGTGCCACTTCACTGCAACAGCATCTGTTCAGGAGATTTAGCAGAGCAGCCATCACTGAAACCTCAGCTTAAAAAAAAAGTTTTTAATTACTCCCCTGTGCTATGAAAACATTAACATCATGGAAAATGACAGGTTTCAAAGAGTACTAACTTCTGCCACAGTGCAAACCTTTACTTTTAAGGAACTCAAGAAAAAAACCTGTGCCACCTACAAGTAAGAGAGAGAATATAACTGTGTTCAGTTTCATGAAAAGATCGATGTCCATATCCCAGTCATTCCCAGAAAAACATATTGCAACACAATCCTGCTGGAACTCTTTTAGATGTTTTACAATAGCAGCTGAACAACACAACTGTACTAGGCCACTTACAATCTTACACTAGACCAGTACACAGTGTGCTACACTTGTGGCATCAGTCTTCCATTTCTAAAAACTTCCTCAACTGTTGCTGTAAAAATACACCTACACTGCAAATTTAGACATTTGTTCCAGATCCAAAGATCTCATTTTTACAATAAAAATATTTTCTGGATTTCTGGTTCGCTTTTTAAAATAAGACACACAGGTCTTATGGAATGTCATTGACCTCTCCTGTTTAGAAGGAACACTGAAACTATTTCCTTTCAGATAAGAGATACCTGCAAATAATTACAACTAGATGCTTAGTTAAGTTATTTGAAACCTCCCCATACCTCTTGCCTTACATAATTTCCTAATCTACATATAGAACCTTTGTTGTTGCTGATCATCAACTTCTAAAAGGTTACATTTCATGATGTACCTCAAACAGAGAGAACCTTCTAAATCTACACACTCATGAAAGCTGGATGCTTTAAATTTAATAAAGGTAAAAATCACATCCTAACAAGCCCTGGGAGGAAAGAGTAGTGTCGTACTCTTTATTGAAAATATGGGGAAAAAGACCAATATTTTAGTAAAAGAAAGTCAGTAAACACAAGAAGTTCTAGAGGCATAATCCATGCACAGGAAATCCTTCTGCTGTTAGCTAAAGAAAATTCACCAGTCATTCCCAAATTAGGTAATGCTTCTACCTCAACTAGTTTTGCTAATGAACTTCTGTAACTAAAATCACAACTTTAATTCGGAAACACAGAATATATTTAAAGTTCATTATTTTGTTCCTCCTTTATTTGTCTCTTTCTACTACCTTACCTTAACACAGGTATTTATTGAGTAGCTAAAATATCAAACAGATCTTCCAATTTCATCCCTCTTCAACTGACTCCTTCAAGATGGACTGAATGCAAGGAAATAGAACAGCTGGAAATATTTTAAATATCCATATAACATAATAACAATGATAAGTTAAAAAAGGAAAAAGTTCAAATGTTTATGATTTTGAGTCTTAATTAAAATCTCCAGAACCTCAACTCGCGAAAGTATTTCAAACTAGTCTTTTGTACATTTACAAGAATACCAATGTTGAAATGGTCTGTGAGATTTCACTGTAATTCTTTCATTGATGACCTCTTCATGATTTAAGATTTTCTAAGTACTTGTTCTTATGAGGATTCACTATTTCTGACACTTTTGTTTAAACTGGTGCAAGTGGCCAATTTCAGGTTAACCAAGGACAAAGCATAATAGTAAGCTAGCTGCCAGTGCAGAGCAAAAAAAAGAAGTCAAACCACTTTAGCAGCCTATGAAGGAGGCTAAAGTTTATTGCTGCCTGAAAGCCATGTGCTAATTCTAATAGCAATTGAACAAGTCTGCCACAATCTGAAAGCATGTAATTTCCTGCCTTCGGGGGCATCTAGGCACAAGAAGGGCACCTGAACAGAAAGTGGGACAGTTTTGAAGAGCCAATACTCCACTAAAGACCAGCCAACTTCTACATAAATGAAGCTACTTGAGGCAAACAGTCTGCTAGTTAAAAAAAGAACAGACTAATAGTGCATATAGCACTACCCAGGCTTTCCTGAAAACATAGGCATCAGCCTTTCTAATAGACACAGTCAGTGGTAAAAAATCTCAAAGCACAAGGTGGGGAAGAGTTCCTTTCCTGAATAGTCATGTGAAATCATGAAATTGTCAGATAACCAATTGCAGAAAATATTATCTTACATCTTCTGCCACAAAAGAAAACTCATTCTCATTTGTAATAAATTAGCAGTTCTTACTTGGAAGCACCTTTGATGACATCGGTCAACATATCTCTGACCCTGCAACAGAAACAGAAAGAATTTACACCACGTTTGTTATACTATACCATGAACTCAGCTAATTTCCCCTTATGCCTTACACGTGTCCATTCTAGGTTAACAATTATCTTATATAGCTATGAAAATGAGCGCAAATTAATCACAAGCATTAAAACTGTAAAAGTGCCTACGTACCACCCAACATTTCTTCATGCTCATGTGCACTACCAATGTTTTATACAGGGCTCTTATTTGACTTCATACCACTTTTTGTAAAATGCAGGTTCATGCAACAGCCATAAATCTGTTCTTTGAGCTGTTACACATAAGTTTCCAGCTTATGCTATGTCTTAGCATAATAAAATGAGAAAGTTTTACAATGGACAACAGTAACAATATGTCCAACACTTACTATACTTGTGGAAACCACTATGGGCAGTTATGCTATCAGGTAGCATAGTAACCTGAATCCATTTAAATGAAAGCCATAGGAGTAGTTAAAATTTCTTACACATTACTGTAGTTGATTTATAATAGGCTACTTGTCTGCATTTGTTTAGTTTTGCATTCATATCAAGACAGAAGCAGAGGTGCAGTGAATCCTCTGTATCGCCAGGTTAGGGTGAGGAAAGAGATCCTCTATACTACCACATGCAGTACCATCCTGGCCATGACTGTCATCCTACAGAAAAAGATCACTCCAATCACAGTTCCACAACACATGATTAGATGCATGCCTCGTAAAATAGGGCCATATGTTATAAGACTGAGTTATACTCAAGCTTTAAAAGAAACTTACTCACGCTTTAAAAGAAACCTACTCAGGCTTTCCTTCATAACCACTGTTTTGCGTAACTGTTTTTGCACACAGTTTCAAACCCACCTACACTAGAAACACTTACAGCACCTCGGCAAATACCAATGCAAAATTGCACAGTACTTACACAATAAAGCATTAACAATAAAGTTTATATCAAGCTATCCACAATCAGGTTAAACCCCGTGGGCAACACAAATGCTTAATGGGTACTGAAGTTAGAGCCCTGAAGCACCAAGCAATTAAGGGGGAACAGGAAAGGACATGAAAGCTAATACTGGGCTCCCAGTTCACTTATTGCTTTGACTTCTCTACTATTAAAGGAAATTCAGTTCATTTTTGACATAGCTTACATTAACACTATTTAGGAAATACAGAGCAGAAGTCAGTTCAGGAGAAATCTACAAAAGCAGCATTGCTGTAGACATTCTTCTCACCTGCAAAATGTTTCCTCTTTATACCCTATCAAGAAAGGGATCAGGCAGAGCAGCAACAGAAAATTGTGCCACTACTACACAAAGAATCTCTCCTACAATACCATATCATTCTGGATCTTACTATGAAACCCTCTAATCTAGACTTAGCTGGAATAAAACAACAGACACAAATTTTTATTCCTGTTGAATGGGACTTAGTAACACCTTTTTGACTGAAATGGGCAAAGGGCATTTTGGTTTTTGTTTGTACATACTTTGTTCCCAATGCACTTATGAAGCACAGAAACAGATATTTATACTGTCCGTGGATACATAGTTGTTTCTTTCTGTGAAGCCTCCCACTTCCCACCTTGTCGCCCTGGCCATGCACATACATGGCTAAATCCTGACTGAGAGAGACTCCTCAGCTGACTGAACCAGAAGTAGTTGAGGACATGGGTCAGGCTGTGCATCATATGCTTGGTTTTAAACAACATCCTCAAGCTCAACATTGCCAACTTACCATACAAACTGACATGTGTCTCAGTGCAGTAAAACACACATCATACCATGGCTTACATTTCTTTTATCAAGCTATTTTCAGTCAGACATCTCATTTAGTCTCTACAAGTAAGTTTGCTCTTTGCATAATCCTTCTGCATTAACATGACACAAAACAAATACAGTCTTCCATTCCTTCCAGTTGTTCACCCTACAAAGTTTCAGACACTGTAGAGGGGAAGGTACCTGTGAACCCGTGCATATGGGAGTCCTTACAGACAGTTACCCAGTAGTGTCTTTCTTTGCACTCCCCCCCCCCCCGCCCCGCCCTTGGTCATTGTATCTGGTGGGGTTTTTTCATTAGTGCTCATTCAGTCTTGAAACTTGCAAAGCTAAAGGCTTTGAAGTCTTGCCCTCCTGTGCTCCCTCACGTGCCATTACAAGTGATCAGGAGCAGACACGCACTTCCTTACCAGAGCCAGGCTGTAAACTGTTTGTGCTGCACCTCTTCAGGATCCTCTTTTCCATGTTTTAACTGCATCTCCAGCTCTGCCTGCCTCCCCTGCAGAATTACAGAGTAAGTCAGAAGTGGCTCTTACATGTCCAGTCATCATCACATTTCTTCAGAGAACACTTAGGTAATGGATGTAGCCTTTCACTTGAGGGCTACTTCATAAGTGAACTTGACCGCTTTTCATATGGGATCCACTGTAACAAACAATATATTAAGTAAAATAATTCGTAATTTTTTACTCTGAGTGGGGAAAACAAGCTGCAGATGGCAGCTGAGATACTGACACATCTCTCCTAGTCCATGCAAAGAGAAAAGTTCCCTTGGGAAGGGGTACAACAGGCAGGGAATGAGATTTAGAAGCCTGCTAGCTAAAATGGATTCTAACAGCAAAACATCACTTTCTCGATTCAGTACATAAAGCAGAATTCCTCATCATTTTCCTTTCTATGACCCCGACCTCCCCGTGAACTCCTACAACAGCTCTTTCTGTACCTTAAAGGAGATTATATGGATTCTGGCCTCTAACAATTGTTATCTAAACACACTAAGTAGCTTTGCTTTAATATTCAGTCTCCAACTGTGAGACAACTACATCTCAATTTGTTTAGGTTGTCAATTACTGCTCCTTAGCAGATTATTAAGCCTTAAGTGAAAAATACAGGCACATAAGCTGTATTTTTCAGGTATTGAATGCTTATAGTTTGGGTGTGCATAAAAACCTGAGAACACAAGAGAGTCAGTCCTGTAAATCCAGATGTCAGTCAAAAGGTGACTCTCCAGGAGCATATACAACACACTGACTAAAGAGAAGGCTCCATAAAAACTATGCAAAAACCTATTGCAATTTCCTTTCCCCAAACACATAAACATTGTCTTAAGTTCTGTACTAAATCAAGATCATCACGATGAGGCTGACTTCAGTCTCAAAAACATGCTGAATGCACAAATTGGCGAAAGTGCTTAAGCATGTGAGTAGACATAATAAAAGACAAGAGAACTTTCAGGTGTCCAAAGGGAAAAAAATACTCACACACGTGTGTTGGAGAACCAGACTCTATGAACGTCTGCCTCCAAACTGTAGAAACGATTACCCTACTAGCTGTTCAGAAATACTGAACTATGTACTATCCAGACTACTCATCTTATACTGTAGTCTCCTTTGGCCATCTCAGATGAAAGGTACTATAGAAGCATAAGGAGTAAGTAAAGATACTAGATCTCCAGTGAGGGACTTCAGAAGCAACAAAAATAGGCTCTATTGCCCTGTAAAATGGCACGAAATCCTAGAGAGGCTTTCATAAACAAGCCTGGTAAATACCAAGCTTCTTGCTCAGCTTGGCCTGAAATCTTGCCTCAGAGGGGAAGCAAACAGGAAAGTAATTAAATGCAAGCAACTACGGCCCCCTCTGTAGTTACGACCTAAAATTACAATTTGAATAGCCGCTGCCTGCTTTGTAATGGGGCTGCGTCGGCTTAGAATCTGCTATTTTGCTGATGGCCAAGAAAAAATTTGTTTTGAAAATGTTAGAGAATCATGTTTTGCTGCACAGCAAAACAAGAAACAGTCAAAACTTCTAGAATTCGCTCAGCAACCTGAGCTGCTCATGCTGAAAACAGCTGATGTGGCATGGAAATACAAACAAGTAAGCCCTTCTAGTAGTACAAAGAGAGCCTTCTAGAAAGCAGCTATTTGTTAGAAGTTTTTTAGATCATTTTCCTGTTGAAAAACCAAATGACACTACATTGGTCTAGATATCAGGTCAGGTAACGTAATGAAAGGAGGTTTTAAGATATTTCCTAATCATTAGATAGGGTGGAAAAATCAAAAGAAGAGTCCCTCACAGTGTGACAGGATTACATGCTGATTAAGAGAAGTTCTATTTAAAGAATCATTCCTCGATAGCTTCTGTTTCCTTTGTGATACTATTATTACAAAATTCCTACCCAAAATAATAGGTTAGAGTTCTAGTTAAAATTTCACATTCTAAAAAATCTAAAAAATGACACATTCTGCAACTTGACACAGAAGTTCTGTTCCTTGACACAGGAACAAGACTGCAAGAACCTGTAAGCAGAAGTTATACTTCAACAAAGTATCCCAGATTGTGCTGCCATTAACTGAAGACTCATTTTTATTTCCTCTTCATAAATTTTACTATTAAACACCTCAAGCTTTATTTTTAAATTATTGTAACTTGCATGGGTGCTCTTGCTGGCAAAAATAAAACTCATACCACTTGAATGAGCATTAATGTACACAATACTATGTACCTCGAAATTACCTGCAGAACTGCACTGTAGGTTCGACTCATAAATCCTAACCAGGACTGTGGCAGCAGTATGGAGCGGTGCCATTCAGAAGGTTGAATGTTAACCTGTGCAACACACCAGAAAGGGTAGAAGCGGTTACATTAAATCTAACATATGCAGAATGTATGCTCTCCAACCTGTGATTTGCAGGCAATCATTTGCTCACACCCATAGCACATTACACACAGCTGTAGGAAACTAAAATTACAATGTACTTTGTTCTCCTTTCTGGTTTTACCCAGATCAAGTTACTTTCAGCTTCATTACCCAGGCCAGACAAAATTGGTTGCATCAGGTAGTTCAATAGATAATTGATCCCAGAGAGAGCAATGGAATTACATGTGGCAATAAGCACAACACTTTGTAGCACTGGTAGACAAAAATACGTACAAAACAAAGATGTTAGTGCAGTTTATGTTTGTCATAGTTTTTGTAAGTCTTAGGTGCTTCTAAGAGCTTGTACTTAAATACAAGTAGATGACTATCTAAATACAGGGGAGATTATTCAAAAGGAGTTAGTACCCATGACTAGGGTATATATAACTATGTTCAAGTACATAGTTCAAACTTCCTTTAAGGAAAGTAATTGTTAAAAAAAGAAAGGAATCACAAAGTTTATTTCTAGGAAGCACCAATATAGAACTAACAGGAGGAAAACAACACCACCGCAAAGATAGGTTAAAGAAATATGCAACAGCTCTCCCTGCTTGCCTCCAAATCACACAGGTATGACAGCCTCAACTTCACAACGAAAGAGTAACTCAAAGTCAACTACACAATCTGATGTATATGCACAGCCTTTTCTCAGGAGCCCAAGGTTGTTCTCTTCAGTAAGCACCATAGCAAACAGACTCAAAGACGTTTTCCGAGCATGTTGGGGAAGAAAAAAAGTCATCAAGTGAGCTCAGTTACAAGCCATTTTCTAGCCCTTGGCAGCTTAACGAACTAATTACAGGGACAAGTTAAACAGAGTGAGTCACAAATTCAAGGCCACCAAGAAAGTTTTTCCAGACATCAGAGTCCAGCATGATATATATACCTCTCCCTGCAATTTGCATGTTATGTGACTTATAAATCAAAACATACTAATTCACAAAAAATGTGTATCACAACTAATTAGAAAAGTCTCTATTTCCCTCCCTCCATGACTGTCTCAATTGCAGCAACATTTTATTAAATTAAGATAGGAGTTCAGGTGTCCTCTCCTTTTAAACTGCTGTGTTTTCAGACCCACAAACAACATAAGCTCTGTAATTAGAATGATGGGTGTGCATTGTTATATCTCATCATATGACACAGTGGGCATACAGAATTGATTTTTCTTGCTACCATCCAATTATTTCTACTGTCTGCCTCTACCAAAAAGATGAAAAAATGTCATCACAGCCATTTGGACTCCACTGGAATTAAGTTATTTAATCTCAGCAGTTTCCAGGGTAATCAGTTTTTAATAAAGGAAAGGCAGACATGTCAGGTTGACGTGAGATGGGATATATCTGAGTATCCGCTGTTTAAGGCCTATACTTTCTATTTCTAAATTAAAAGAACATGCCAGACTCCCTGAGCTATAGAAAAACCCTGTGAGCTGTGATCAAAAATTGTGCAAAGCCCATCTAGAGTAACTAATCTTGCTAGGCTTAATCCCAGAAGGTTATTATTCTTCCTTTTTATTCCTCCTAGTCTGTTTTACTACAGAGACTAGTCACTGTTAACATGTAAAACACTCCATGCCTGAAGGTATGCCAACCCTCTTTTCTCCATCACGTGCTCCACTGGCCTCCTCTGTACAGAATGGTTAACCAAGATAAACAATTGAACTCCCCTTGTCTGTTAATTATCTTCCTAAATCTTCCTGCTTCATCTCTTCTATTTTATGCCCCTCATGATCTACATAAAGTAGTCAATATTCCTTCTTTACGTGGATTTTATTACAAAAAACAAAGGACCGTGCTAAAGCTTCATGCCCACTGTCAGTGGTGAACTTAAAACAGTTTTGAGTAAGTACTAATACATCTGTAGAAATAAATACAATCTAAAAGTCAACCAATCAAAAGAGATGACTTACTCCACCCCACAGCCAATAGAAATACACCCTGCAGAAAAAAAGAAATCTCATCTTTAAATGACTCAATAAAACTAGCCCTCCCTTTTTAGCCAAAATTTTATTCACACCCCCCTCCCTTCTCTGTTCATCAATTCCTCAACAAGTTGATGAGCAGTCAAGGCTCCAGTCAGAATTCTTTGCCTCAGGTTCCCAAGGCATCTTTGCCTCTACTCTGAAACTATTCTAGATTTGTGCATTGAGATTTGTCTGGTCTCATGGTGATCTGTGAAGTTCACCACATAATCTGCACCAGCGCAAAAGCAGGCCTCCAAAACACTTCAGGTGCTCATGCAGGAAATACAAAGCTTTAGATGCATTGTTGCATTTAAAGCAACTAAACATGGTCTAATCAGGAATGTATTACTAGCACCTTGCACATCTTATCTAAAATTTGCAGATGTGCTTGATGACCAGCAGAACTGCTGACCACCTTTTGAATAATTAACTTTCTTCATAGCAGTAAACATTTTGTAGATATGTGGAATGAGAGGATAACAAGAGGGAACAGAACATCTTCACATAACAAAGAACACTCAAGTAAAATTCATCTATGACTGAAAATTGACATAGTGCTGAACATTATTACATAAGCAGTGCTGATACCCACTATTTCAGTACAGGAAACCTGCAGTCTTTACTTGTCCTCTATCACTGGATACACAATGATAACAACTACATTAAGTATTGGTTAACTAATACTAGCAAGCATAGACAAAGCTGACAATAGGTGAAGTTCAGATTCTTTTGAGCATGCAATTTATGTGTAAGAAGGTATTGGGCAGGTGGGAGGCACAGGGAAGGAGGTTCAAGGGACTTCTGAACCAAAGACGAGTGGTTGTGAAACACTGCTACACTGGTCCTGGGACGTTCCTAGGAGGCAGTGTAGCCAGACCAGGCTGCCAAGTAGTTCAAGAAAGAGCTGCAGCCTGACCTCTGAGGCAGTAAGAAACAGCATGAGCTATGAGCTACTAATATGAGACTGTTGATCAATGATTAAGAAGGACATGTCTCCCTGAAAAGACACACAAGCATAGACTGTGTTGGCCAAAACCCAAGACAGGGAACGCTGGCAAACCACAGGAGATACTACTCCTGTACTTCAACACTTCTGAAAACCCATAGCACAAGTTTTGCACACTTCTGCAAGACTGGGAAGTAATTTCAAATTAAATCAGAAGCTCATTTCCCCTCTCCAGTGCACTCCCAATAAAAATCAAACACCATGGCAACATCTGGATGAGCTTTCTTTCAGGACTGGTGCCTTTGTGCTGCCACACATCTTTGTATATTGCTCACTCGTTTTACACTGATACGTAACCAGTAGAGGGCACACAAAACAAATTAAGGGAACAGTGAAATTAAGCCTGTTTCTATCACTTCCCTGGGTATCTAGTTGACATAATACTGTTTAAAGAACCTAGAAACTATGATACCATTAACATTTATGGCCCATCTTAAAATCTGTTGTAGAGCAGGGAGACTGGGAATCCCAGTAAGTTCTTTTACTAAGTACAACAAGTTTCCACCTCGATAGCCCTGTTAACTCACATAGTCCCTAAATTCAGCTCATCTCTAACAAATGCGTGGCTGTGAAAACATGTTGTAGACAATACCCATATGTCAGTGACATGTTTAGGCATGTATTTAAATGCCTTTCTCACATATGGGACATACAAACTACAGCCTCAGTGATTTCACAAATAAGACTAGCATTACATATCCATATCAATGAAATAATGAAGCAGCATCTCTCTTCATCTCGAATTTTGCTTAGAGACTCTTTTCAACACACTTGCATGCATACACTTCCAAATCCTCCCCCCAGCATTCCTTTGTGAGAAAAAAAATTGTCTTTCTCCAAGGCACATTAGACTGAGGAGGAGAAAAGCAAAAATCAACAAACTTACTTCCTAAATACTGTTTCATCAGTGGAGGAGATACATTCAGTAAACTCAGTAATGGAAACCAGCACAAAGTAGTTAATAATCTGAACTACATCCATTGAAATACCTAGCCACAGAAAAATACACTACAGCGAATTCTGTTCCAGAAAATCCAATTATCATCTTAAGGTACTTCATGTACAAGGTTTGAATAAGCCCTTGAATCTCTTGATTACATCAAAATCAAACCAGGAAAGAAATGTACAGAAGGAGCTTTCCACTTTAGTGCTCAAAGATACATGTCATCACAGCACATCTAACAAACACACTTAAAATAGAAGCAGGGAATGCTTCTTCCATAAGCCTAAAATGATTATTTGCAGAGCAGTATTTAATACTGTACAACTCACCACTGGCACCCAACTTTGCAACTGTGCCTGTAAATATTACTAATTGTTAGGGCAAAACAACTGTGCTATTTCCAACACAAAGAAAGCACTTGAATATTAAGAAACATGCAAAGGCAAGACCATCCTCCCTTATTTTAAAAACACTGCACCGGTTCAGATCATCAAAGCCACCATTTACCACATCTGTGTGCCAAAAGCAGGCTGCCTCTGTGCTTTTTGCATGTAGCATGAACTGTTCCCTTTACCTCCACTAACAAAAGAAAAGATGGGTAGCTAGTTGAAAGCCTAATAACTTTGACCCAAAACATACATTTACAGAACCATCAAAACATCTGGTACATGATGTGAACATACGTGACTATTCATCTTCATTCATTTTCACAACAGAGGTAAGTGAAGCTGGTAAGACATTATTCCTATAAACTCCTAGGAAGAATTACTCCAAAATCTGAAACAGTCACAGGCAATTATTAGCTAATCCAGCCCAGGTGACCGTGATAAACCTCAGGGACTTCTTGTACAGTATGATGCAGGCAGCTGTAGAGAAAACAAAGAAAATCCATGGTCTATGTGATTTCTGACCACTGTGACTACAGTAACTTACATGTCCTCTCAAAGAGAGGTTAACAAGCTCTGTTTAATAATCAATCAAACAGCACATCCCCATTTCTGGAGGAAAGATGATCTTCCTCTTTCAAGTCACTAGTGACCAGTAATGAGCAATACAGCATTTCAAACGTACCACTGTTTATTGAACATATGTTCTGCCTCCCATGAGATACCAGTTCAAATAACATCAAAAAACCCTTCTGCATCTTAATCTGATCCTGCTGACAGGTATTACAGCTGCATCTAATCCCTTAGCTAGAATAGCACCTAGGAGATAGACTAAGTCTGGCCAATTAAGGCTTAACAGTAAATTACCTTTCTACTGTTGATGTTACTGTTAGATTTGAATGGCAGCTAGACCCAGGTATTTGTTATCTGTATGCTTTACAGACTTTTAAACATACACGAAGAAATTCTTTCCTCTGCATACAAACCTCATGTAACTCGTTTTTTTTGTAGCAGAATCTCAGGCATCACACTTCTACACATAAAGAATCTCACAAAAGTGAAACTCAAGCCCCTCCCCATGCCTCACTTTACAAAAAACTAACTGTAATAATGGCAACTAAGCATACGCAGATACAGACAGATACGCAACCTGTAGGTTCATATTCTACAGATGTGAGCGTAGATCAAACCACTGAAAAGATGAAAATGTTATTATCCCAGTATGGCAATTATATTGATGACTGCTAATCCCTAACTAAGGAAATGCCAACTGCTGGGGATTTCTAGAGATAAAATAAATGGATGCTTGCCGTCTCCCAATTAATTGTAATTTCGTGTTTACATCCAGTTTTCTCAGAGCTTTATGCTGACTACAATGCTTCAAAGATAACTTTAAGTCTTCTTTTTAATGAAACTCTTCTTACTTTACTTAAAAAGTCACTATGAGTTAAAAAAAGCCCCAATATAAAAAGGAATCGAACCAGTAGCAAAGAAGTGTCATTCTGGTAATTTAAAACCCCTTAAAAAACGGCTTAATACACTGTGTTGAACTCTGAAGCAATGACTTTGCAAAAACACGTTAATTCCTACAGCCACTGCAGGGAAAAGATAAGCCTAGGTCCTACTAACTCAATTTTCTTAGACCAATACTGCTTAAGCTTTATAGCTTTAAGCTCCCTGCTTTTACTGTTAAACTCTGTTCCCCAGAAGAACGCTGAGGACTAAACAAGCACTATGGCATGAAATTCAGTCGGATGAGCCCAGGCACTCGCTTCTCTTCAAGCCAAAGGCCCAAATACCTTTTCCTGATGCCCCTAAAACTCCAACTGTCTCTATGTACAAGGAGAAAAAAGGCAAGAAAAAATGTTATTGTCTTTTAAAGCAGTGTAAGCTGAGAACAGAAATACTGATATATTTTGATCAAAATTTTATAGTTATTGTGAATTTTCACTAAAGGAGTGCAGTTAGGATTGTCTGAAGATATGTGTGTATAGGTTTGTATTCCAAACACTTTAGTTTTACTACACCTTGAATCAACTGACTTTGTAAAATACTGAGATGATACTTAAAATATTTCTGTCTCCAGTCATTGGTATGTATTCACTAACTCCATTCAGTTCACCACATTGAATAAAAACCCCACGCTTTCGTCAAGCAAACCATTTTAAGGTTGTGTTTCTATGAAGGTAGCTTGTTAGCAGAAGAAAAGTCAATTTTTGATGTGCTGCTGGATGTTATAATCACTGCTAGTACACACAAATAAATAAATATTTTTACTAGAGATTGTATTTGATGCTTTAGTAGGCGAGTGTTTACAACATAGTAGTTTAGAACTGATCTTCATCCCACTGTAACTTGGCTTATATAGCACTTTAATACATGCCTTTTATTATAATATAATTAAATACGTTTTTCTCCAGAACCCCTGGCACTGAACCCAGGTCCTACTGAATGAAGCAACTACATAGAAGGCAGAGCTTTTCTTTCTGGATGCTATGCAAGCTCATGATTCATTCATAACTCATTACTCTAAATCTGCTCCTCTGACATATTTTGCAATATCCTTGTGGACTTCCCCTGGTGCTCTCCACTGGAGCATCCAAGTAGTTAGAAAACATTCATTAATTTCCTTGCACACTCCTGTGATGATGAGGGGTATTATTTCAGTTTCTGCTTTCATTCTTTAGCAGTAAAGATGTCAAGATGGAAAATATCTATTAAATTTGCATACATGATTAGATACTTTGAGACCTGTGTTTAAGGGTGGCTTTTGTTTTTTATTTTCACTAGTTTGAAAAAAGAACTTTCCATCAGACTGGCTTTCATCCTTGTACCACTTGGCCTAACTTCTACTGGGATCCTGGGGTGTCTTCGAGGCCACAAGACATGATTATTACTTTTTGTGGCTTTTCAGTTCAGAAGGACCAAAACGGTAAGATGTTGTATGATAGGTAAAAATTTTATGTGTATGGTACCACATGAAAGTGTTTCAGAGATGGTACAGAGATGGAAGACTGCACTATGTAGGAGCAGCCAATTTCAGCATGGTGCACATTCACATCGCTTGACTGGAAGCTTCAGGCAAACTATGCTGCAGCCAGGTTTGCTAGAGAGGGAACTAGTTCGTTTGCTCCAAAGAGACCAAGGAAGTGAACCAGTACAAATGCAGTGTAAACAAGCAGGGAGCAGGACCTGAGAGCAAAGCCAGGAGGGAGACATGCAGATGCATCACAGGATCAGAATGTAGCCCCCATGCATTTTCCAACTGCAGGCACCTGTGTTCTGTGTCAGGCTTTCAGTTTGTAAACAGAAAACTCTCCAAACCCTGTGCACACAACCTTCCCACTGAGACCCTGTGCTATACTTACTTCATAATAGAAAGTGTTTAGTGTCAGTGATTTTATTAGCATCATAAAGGAATTTTGCAGCAGGCAGGCTCCAGGTCTGTTGGGTGTCAGTCACAAACCAAAATCAGGACCCAGACACACTCCGACCTGCAACCCATATCTCATTCATTCTACCTCTTCCAACTTCTGCATCAAGTACAGTACGACTGTTAGATAAAACACTTGCTTTTAATTACACAGTTCTGGTTCACTGTCAACACAGGATCCATCCTGTGCTCTGAAGAAAAGGCTCCTCTGTACAAAACAGCATACAATCAAATTATCTTTAATAGCACCAAACTGCCTGTAGACGGGACAGAGAAAGAGGAGGAATGGGACTGTTTAAGCTCTTCTATCCTTGAAAAGTAGAACAGGAATTGGTATTGCTGTGGGGTGGGGGGGGAAAAAAAAAAAAAAATCTTTAAAATGTCCAGATATTCATACATTGTTTTCATTTCTGAACATCCTGCCTAAGACTCAATCTAAATTTTATAGAAGGTTTTTTTTGTCATCTATGCTTTCTTGCTCATATAATTCATACTGATATAATTCATACATTCTTATTTATGTCCTGTGAGCAGAAACTTCACTCTCAGATGCATGTAATTAACCTCTGCAGCAATATAAAATGATTGTATTAATAGAATAATTTTATGAACTTTTAAAGAGATAATACATTTCCACTTGTGTTAGTAACTGCTCTCACTGGCATAAAATTGGGAAAGGAACACTTATTTCCCTAGTTGCAGTCTAACTACTTATTTTGTTTTACTGCTCTCCAAAATTTTCAAAGATCAACTTTCATATCAACCATAAAAGTACCGTAATTCTAAACTCTCTGAAAGATTTTGTTACAAGCACTTTATTTTCTGGATTCATTAAGTGAGGCATTATTTCATGCCCTTTTTCCAAAACCACACCAAAGGTAACTGCATGGTTTCAGTGGCATAAGCCTAATAGATCAGGGAGCTTAAACATTTAAGAGACAGAATAAAATAGCAAGTCTTAGCAAGGTGTAGATGTTATTTCCCCACAGAGTCCCATCATTGTTCAGACCTGCTATTCACCTACAACTGGTTACACACAAGAGGTATAAGGCAGGTATAGTAGCCTGCAAGGCAAATAAAGGCAAAGGTCAGCTTCTGTTTGTTTTACTTATTTTCAGAATAGGTACTTCAGCAGTGAACACTTAAAAAAAAGTATTTACATGTTCAATTCAAGTTAGTTATCCCTCACCACAACTTTAGTTAATTATGATACGTGTCATTGCTAGCTGATACTAATTCCTAATTAGCATAAACAAATGAGGTAGTAAGGCAGGGAAGGAAGCATAATACTTCTGAAAAGGGAAGAAAAGCCAGCAACTTACCTCATGAATGAGGGCTACCAACATTTGCTGGAAATTGCGTCCCCTGCTGGCCAGAAATCGATTAATAGGCTTGCCATCTTTGCCCATATGGACTGGAAGGTCATAACACAACAACATGCCAGCTTAAAGCAGGAAGGAAGGAGAAAAGAAAGGTCAATACTCATGCTACTAGTTCAGAAGTCTTGCATAAGTCAGTGGAAAACCCAAAGCAAAGTAAAGTAAACTTAATAAAGCCAACAATTTAAAAGCCTATGTAAGCATAATCAAGTGACATAAGACATCATTGTTTCTTAAACTGATTTCACTCTCAGATTCATAGAAATCTTTCGGTCAAAGCATGTATACTTGTCTAACTTCAAGAAAGTGACAGCTTACCTGCAAGACCTGGTGTCATGCCTGGTTGTTTGTTCCTCTCATACATTTTCAGCAAGAAGTTTGGAACACCTGCCATCGCCTTCCCCTGGTCTGAGCGTGTGGTCCCTCCTCTCAAGGCAGAATGATACACACCACGGGGCATATTGGTCATCTCCTGTTTCACAAGTGATGTTGCAAACTCTTCAAATGCTGGATGAAGCGCAAGAAAATGAGGAGAGAGGAAAGGGAATGTCAGAGCATGATGACTGAGAGACCAAACAAACCCTGGAAAACCCAAAATGACACCTGCGCTTCAGGGGCGATATGGTTAGATAAAACAGTAATGACATATTCAGATGAAAGCTCAAGGTCAAAGAATTGAGAACTTTAAGCAAGTCTCTCTGACTCCATACTTGCTGTCACTGCAACTTCAAGAGGCTCTGAGTAAGTCATGTCAGATACTATGGCTGGGAAGAAAAATAGCCTTAACTATTCCATGAGCTGTTGATTGCATTCTTTGACTGCTACACCAACAACACTGGCACATGCTGACAGAATGACAATAAGAAATAAAACTGATGTTTACCAACGTAGTGAAAAATACTGTCTCTAAAACCAGGTTGTTCTTAAAGAGATTTAAAAGAAGCACAATGCAAAGAGGGTAGATGGAGAGTGTGTAAATGCAACCAGGGGATACCGAGAGAGAGAAGTATTACCTTTATTTTTGTTACCATAGCAGTACAAATTGTTTATTAAGTTCTGTGCTCTCAAGCTATGCATTTTATAGTCTAACCAGGTTTAAAATTATACAGAATTAATACAAAGTTATTGTTCATTTGTAGAGTCAATCTGAAGCGGCTAACTGCAGGCACATGTTAGAAAAAAGGGTCGTGTTTCTGTATGTACCATGTATGTACATATATATGACTGCATGATGTTTGTTACCACCTCACAACTGAGAGCCAACATTGTACCAGCACCTTGCAAACCTGATATGTTTAAAAGTCTGTTAGTGCTTTCGTTATACAACTGAGTTTTAAGGGGATTTATAACAACTGTTTCACACTAGGCTTGAAACTTTGGCATACAAATTCCCAAATCACATGCAGTCCTGCTTTGACTAGGAACTAGAGGACAAAGGAGACAAAAGGGCACTCACTCATCCTTTCTGGGTCCATGAAATACCTATGGCAGCCTGGAATAAAATAGTTTTATACTGGAACTTCCTCACATTTCGTATTTTCAGCAAGTTCCCGTGAATTTCAGCAATGCTCTCTCCCAGTTCAACTTCATAGTGTAATAGCAGCCTAAATCAGGTTTTTGTAGCATGGCAGAAAGGGCACCTACATCTGGGGATTTTTTTTTCTCCACCCATAATGCCAATATTCTTCAAACAAAAACCTCAGCATGCAGGTTTAGCAATTTTCACTATAGTGATTCAGACAGAAACTATAAATTTTTGTCCCCAGTCCTCAACACTGTATAGTCTTCCAAAAAAACTAACTTTATTGACATGAAAATACTATCCACCTACCTGCTCTAGACTTTTATAAGAGCTTTTTTGTTTAGGGTAGCTACAGCAATAGAGAAGAAATTCTCTGAAAGAGAACAGCTCTTTCTCTGCTGCTAACCATCCACATTGACAGAGACACCCTAACACAGCTAATATCACTGCTGAACTATTACTGCACTGGCTAGTTATCCCAAAGGACTTAATATTCTTACAAGCCATTCAAAAGCAATTCTTCAGGCAAGAGAGACAACCCAAAAATCGAGGCTGCCAGATATAACTCAAACTAGAAAATCTGGATAAATTTAATGAAACACCTAAATGTGCAGCAAATACTAGAATATCGTATTTTAAAGCTTGGAATCAGTCTGAAGGAAAAAAAGAGGTAACTAACATCACAGGAACAAAATTCTTAGCATCCTTCCTGCAGAGATATACCTCTCAATAACAGTAATAATAATAAATAAATAGCAGTTGTCTGAAGTTTATAGTTTGTTATATGGGATTATTTTTAATTCTCTGACTACCAGGTTTCAGACAAATCTCAGATATCCAGAATGAAAAACTATTAAAATAAAAAATACGCTGTTATACCACTTCTGATACCCTGTGGACTCCAATGATTTGATGCAATATGGAAACTGAAGTGACAAATCAGTTTTAAAGGCGTTTGAGAGAAAATACTACCTAAAACTTCACTTTCCGACGCTTCACATAAGCAGCTTTGGTAAATTAGAATTGCAGCATGTTCCAATCAACTCTGTTTATAAAACAGTATGGCTTTGGGTGTGGGGTTTTCTTCTTCAGTCCATCCTGTGCTAAAATACAGAGCTGCCTTTAAAAACATCTGTTCAGTGTTCCCTATTGAAGTTGCACTATGATGAAACAATGGACACGAAGTAAATGATAAGCAACTGGCTTTTCCTATGGGACAGATAAGGATTTTTAAGTTATGTTACATGCATTTTTTCCCACCATCAGGACCCCTGATCCACTGTCTTCCTAAAAATGGGTTGGGGGTTTTGTTTTCCTCTGAACTTCTACTTCACATTTTTTCCTGCAATTTGGTAAGATATTTTCCCGGGGTGGAAGGGGAAGGCTAAACTTTAACATGACACTCCCTTATAAGAAAGCCGTATGTCTGTACAGTCACTGTCATTATAAATCTGCAAAGTAACATCAAATACTGAATATATTATACCTCCTAAAACAGAAGCTGGTGTTAGAGACAATAGCTTGATATATGAAGAACCCGGAACAAAAAGATCTGCCTCCTTCTCCTCTTCTTCATCTTCATTCATGTCTACCTCCTCCAGTGAGTCAACTTCTGGTCGTGCCTGAAAGATTAAAAAAAAGGAAATGTCAGCACAAAAATTCAAAATTCTCATTATCTTTCACGATTCCAAGTGTCAACCAAGTGTCAAAAATACCAACTAAATATGAAAAATTCCCCATTTCATTAATCTCACTTCATTTCACTAATTTGAAGCTGAAAGAATAAAAGCTTTTCTTATACCCGAATGAAAGGCAAAACTAATTGATAAAAATCACATAGGTATGTAAATCCATACCTGTAATAGTAAAATTAATCTTAACACTTATAGACTCAACTAATATTACTAAAACTTCATGTTCACTCTTCTTCAATTTTGACTCTTCTTCAATTAGAGTAAAACAATGTTTTATATTGGCACTTTAATATACGCAGACTATTTCTGCTAGACGTTATTTTTCCACACTAGTTTTCAGAATTTGAAAAACTGCAACATATTTACAACACTTTCAATGAAAACATATTTACTCATTTTCTAACGAGTGTAAAGTAACAGCACCAATAATACAGAGTTATGTACTACTGTGAAAGATTCAGTATTGCAGCAGTGTTCAGAGATTTCCCTCATTCTATCTTCTGCTCCTCTTCTATGCAAAACACATTTTTAATTTGTAAGGTTTATGCTGAACTCTTCTCATAGATTTATATAAAGCAAGTATGTTTTTTAATTTTAAAGTTGCTTATTCCGACCTTTTCATAAAGGCCAGTTACAACCCGCAAATGGAGCCAATCTTGTAATAATGCAGTAAATAAAAACTTACAGAAGTATTTACTATGCCATAAAGTACCAATGGACTACTGATCATTGCCTAGTCTCTTACAAAGTTATTGTAAAAAAAAAAAGTCACATAGATGATCGTATACGTTCATCTCCTTGCACTCTTTTATTTTGTAAGGTTATTGAGTCAACGGATCAGACTAAAGTTTCAGAGTTTAACAGCCCTCTACATACTTAAAAAGCTTTCCAATAGGTACCTCAATTTCTTTCTGGCTGCCTTTATTAACAAAAAAGCAAAATGTTATGCTGTAAAAGTTAAGAACAGAAACACAGGAAAAGTTTTCAGATTAATTCCAGAAATAGCACCTACTTTTCAAACTGACTTGCCTATTTCAGGAACAAAAGTACTAAGCATGAGTGTGGCTGCAATGGATGAAGCGATAATCACAAAAGCTGCTTAATGTCAAGACTCAACTGCAAGCACCAACGGAAGAGCATAAAATGCAAATTAGGTACCCCAAAAAATAACCTGCTGATTTAACTAATGAAAGCAGAAAAACTACCTTCTGACTGCTTAGAACTCACTCAGCCTCCATTTGTGCCTTTCCCCTCTCATAAGTCTTAGTTATGCTAATCATACATAATATCATCCCATTTCACCAGCAGGAGCTCATATTCCTTCTATGAGGCTCTGATGGTTGTGCGGTAGAGATGGCACAAGGCCTTGTTTCCCTTCCAAGAGGATACAACCTATGCCAGATGGAAGTATCAGATGTCCTTACTATTAAACATATAACACTGCTACCTGTTCAGGAAGATGAAGAATTGTATGTTCTTCAGAGCCAAATGACGAGAGTGATTTATAGGCCGAAATGGCTACAACAGCATCCTAGAAAATTAACAGGAAGAAAAAGAAAATCACAAGCACAGCATATGGTATTGCTACCTACTGGAAACCAATTATCTAGGCTTGATAGCAAACATTCTGATTCCTACACTCCGTTACTGCTGTGAGGGTAGTTTATGTAGAAATATCCAAGCTGTATTTAAACTAAAATCCTTTGGTTCCACCAGCCCCATGGAGATGATGGTCCAACATTCCCACCGCATTACAATACCCTAAGAAAGAATTGAGTTAGTTGTCACAGCTGCAGCTTTGCCAAGAATGCTTCACCATGTCAAGGCTGAAGCCTACCAGAGGAGTCATACTACTTTGCGTTACAATTCTCCTTGGGAGTGGCAGATGTTAAGACCATCAGTTATCACCTCTCATGTGCATTACATTGCTTCAAAAACAGTGTTAAATGGTCAATGACAAGAAGAAAACCCTATTAGAAAATGAGATTGCTGACACTGATAACCTTGTCTTGAGAGAAAGCTATAAAACTTAATACCCAGTTGCTGACACCAGGAATTAACATTTTCAATTGTATCACCTACCTTGTTTTGTGTGTTGTTCCAAAGGAAGGTGATAACTTGAGCTTTGAATTTCTATAAAAGCGAACAAAACAGGCATTCAGATTTTCTTTAACCAAATAAGCAGTTGAAATAGAGGCAGTTACCTGAAACAAACTGCTGCCACATGCAGTAAGCTACCAAAGTGGAAGGGGCGCAGGTTTGAACTGTTAGATGCATTCACATGTCGTCACATTCTGGCAGAGGGAAACCTCTGATCAACCTTGCACTGGAATTTCTCACCTATCTCCCAGTGATGCAGTAGGTATAGTCTGTTACAGTACCTCTTATTCCATACTGCTCGCTTCTTTAATTCTAAACAATGAAGATTTGTTGCTTAGAAGTTAGGTAACTAACAGGTGTTGTGTTTGTAAGTGTGTGGAATTGTAACTAGTATAAACTGTGTATCCTAGAAGCATTGTTAGATTCTAGTGATAATTAACTTCGACTATGGAAACCGTAAACAAAAGCGATCCAAGTATGGCTTGGGGACAAGTTGCAACCTTATAAGGAGAAGGAAGGACAAGTTCACAGAAAGTTCACTACCCTGCTGACCACCAGAGACCACCCAAGACCCTCAAGAAGACCCTAAAGACTTTAGTGCGCATGTGTCTAGGATGAGGTAATATTATAATTAGTTCCTGGAAACTTAATGAATATGTAAAAGAGAAATTTATAATACGTATGAGAAGCATGGATATAAACAGAAAGGTGATTAGACCAGGTGTGCTTGATTTGTGGCAAGTCCACCGAGCACCCAGGCCTGAATAAAACAATATCTCTCCTGAGCGTGTGGAATTGGTTACTTGCACGCCGGGCACGAATCCGCTTTTCGGACAACACCAGTATTCACTAATGCAAGCTAATGTGAAGCTGTATGGAAATGTGCATTACGACTAACCTCAATTAGGCAGTGGGTGCAATTTAGAGATATTAAAACCAAGCAGGGACATTTAAAACCCATTTACAAAGATATACTAAATGAAGAGACTCACCTTAGTCCATGAGTACATACCTCATATTCATTTGTATTCACTGTTAATGAGGGAACCAGGGCAAACAATTCATTCAGCGCTTTTAAAATAAGGGGTCTTGTATCACAGCTCAGCTTTGGTGACAGAGCATTCCATGTAGAACGGATGCAAACAACCTGGACGGAAAGTGGGAGGCACCATTACTAACAGCAATCCCAACTTGACTTAAACAACACTTCTTTCCAGCACTTGCCTTCTTTCTTCCTACTTGGGAACAGGAATTAATATAGGGTTCATAAAAAGAAAAGGAAAAAACAAGTACGTTAAAAATTCACTTCTATTAACAGCATCACATTATATTAATTGACATCATGCAATAATACTGCACAACACTTCAGCTACCAGTAGGAATAAATAGGACACTGTTAGCAATACACATAAAGTTGCAGACGTATCTTCATATAATACTACTGCCATACTTCACTTGTTCAAATTAGCTTAAAAACAAGCTGCCTCAGAGTTCAACAGGATGAAAGCAGAGGAAGCTACAGAGAAAGCTATGTTCCTTGGGAGCCCTCCAAAACAAAATGCCCTTAATCTTTAAACACAACCAAATCCAACCAAATTTGCAGAACAAAAGAAGAATGTAAAACTGCAGGAATCCAGAAATTGTTGGGAAAATGTCAAACTAAAATAAACACTAATACCACAACTTCATTAGCCCTATACTAAGCAGGTCAGTTCTTACAATTTACTGTGAGAGAAATCACTTCAACGAACCAGAACCATAAAAAATAATTAATTCTGTCAGGAAACCACAGATGATAGTAACATCATGCTTCCAATCGTTAACTTTCAAACCAGTTTCAGAGTTTTTGTAAATGTCAGAATTAATTTTTATTCTGTTAATAATGAATTTGAAGTTTTGTCATTTGCTTTCCAAGTCCTTAGAACATAGTAATTTCAGCCGTTTAAAACTGCCTTTGCAGTTATACTAGAAACCAGAAAGTTACTGTGCATTAAATAGAAGCTGAAATCACTTTAGATACACTTCTGCAATCCGAGTGATTAGGTCCTCAAGAGAGAAGGGGGCGGAGAAAAAGCAACCACAATGAAATATTGGCAATGGCAGGTAAAAACAGAAGTATCTGCAGGCTTCCATGCTACAAAGAATCCAGCATAAACCGGAAAAATAATGCTTTTTCTTTTTTTTTTTCAACCCAGGAGGCCAATATTTGGTTATAGGACAAACATACCCTGAAAAGCAAAATAACTTGTCATTACACATTATAAAATTAAACTCAGAGCACCTTGCAGGGTATGGTTCTAAGGTTGGTATTTTTTCACGGATTATAAATCACTGGGAAAAAACATAAATAAAAAATTGAAATCATCCAACAAGAAGGTAACACTCTGCATAAAAAGAAGTCTAATCTGCTCTTTGATACCTATAGAGGGAAGGGAAAGCTGAATAACTAAGTTTCAAAGTTAATACTACTAGATACACGTACCCCGGTGTTTAGATGGCAAAAAGACTATCAGAATTCTCATGCAGATCCAACACACACTGGGATGCATTACAGCATGGTAAAAAGCATTAGTTAGCCAGCTCAACAGATCTGAGGTTTGGTTTTTTTTTTAATTATATACACCAACAGCCAAAATCCATATGAGATTTTGTCAGCTGTAAGGGAAAAAAAAAACGGGGGGGAGGAAGTTCTACAGCTTGTTTCTCGCTATTGAATGCTTTCATTAGCACCAAACAACAAACCCTCTCCCCACTTACATTCAGTGCTTGATAAGCAACAGGAAATCTCTTGGCTTTTTTGCTCTAGCCAACTACGACTCACAGACATTACACTGAATAAAAACAAGAACCAAGTGCATTATAAAACATATTTACAGCAACCTCTGTATTACAGTGTTGTTTCACAGAAACAACTGGCTCTATTTATCAAGTCAGTAGCTAGTTCATTCTCATGGCAAGCTGTCTGGAAGAATATTCTGGAAACATGCTTCACTTTTCAGACCTCAATTCAAAAAGGCACTCCACTTTTAGCCTGAAGAGTCCCACTGAATACAAAGATCACTCTTTGTGCTGAAGTTCATGATTATCCTTAAGCACTTTACTGAATTATCCTTAATTCAAAGCCACGGGTCTCTGAAATTGTTAAGCAACTTGTCATCAAGGCAGTTGAGATATTGTGCCTGGAAACTCAGTGCCACACATAATTAGTACAAAATTTTACAGTATAGAGAGAAAAGAGTAATCTTTTGGGTCATGTGAAAAGATGAGGAAGCAAACACTGGAGTTTTATTTTGTTGAAGCTTTGGAAGAAAGTGAGGGCTTTGATTTCTCCTGGCTGAAAAAAGGGATACTCACAGCAGAGTTGTACAGATTGATTGTTACAAAAGCATTTTGACTTCTTCAGACAGAAGATCCTCCTGAAGTAAAGGGATTACTGCTGTGCAGCAGTACCAGAGCTGAAATGCAAGCTTTTATTTTTCTCTTTTTCCTAGTGTTGCAAGTCAGCACAGCACAGCATGAATATGGTAACTACAGAGTGATTTTTTGAAAGCCGCAAGCAATAACATCCAAATGAAAAAAACTGGCACTGTTCCACTTGACCCAGAAGTCCTGATGCTCAGCTTTATTTCCAAGAAAATGTGATTCAAGCTTCAGATGACAACAAAACCTGCTTTATTCAGAGCACTCACACATAAAAAAGTCTCCTCACAAACGTGAACACTTCTAATTAGGGACATTAAAGAAGTCCTTTCTGCCTACTGCTTATGTTCACCACAGTATTTTATGAAGAATAACAGCAGCATACAGGAGTATTTCAAGCTGAGCTGTGGCCTACTCTATAGGTTCTTCTTCAAGTATGAAAGTGATTTGAATAATTTTATACACACTGGAAATTCTTCAGACTGTTCCTCACACCAATCCAGAAGCTTTTAGAAATCTATGATGACATACACAGTCAAAGCAAATGGCCTTTCTCACCGTTCAACCTGATGAGAAGTGTTCAAGAAGTAAGCATCACTCTGGTCCTTTTAGAAGGGGAAGGGAATCCAATGAAACACTCGTCTTCAAATCCATTCACAGCTAATACCCCTATTTCCATTATCCTCACCTCATTTCTCCTTCAGTAGGAAGGGGAACAATTTACACTGCAAAATCAGCTCAAACTACCAGTGTAACTCATCTACCCGTTTGATAGCCAAATAAGCACCTTCACATTCCTCCATATACTCTTAGATGAGAGTTTGTCTTAAAAATTCACAGTTATTTCACTATTTGCTTACTGATTCCTCTTTGCCATAAGACCTAAAGTAACAGGAACTACTAGACAGATGATGCACAAGATCTGTTCATCATGCAAGTCATCTTTTTTGTATGCTTACATGTTTGTATTCAGCTTCTAAAGCTCAGATTGAACCCTAAGATCTCCAGTGAAAAGATCAGTTTTTGTTCTGCCGGTAGGGCACAGTGATTTCAAAAGCTGATTTCACAAGCTGCTGCAGTGATTCTTTGCTGAGCAAAATAGGGATATGGCACATGCCTGTTGCATATCCACTCCTTCCAGTGTAAGGCTTATCAATCCCTTTTTTTTTTTTCTTCAACCATTCATCTGTGCTCTTTATTAGGTATATCAAAATAATGTCAATGTTTACCTGTAGGACTAATGCACATTTGAGATGAAAAAGGAGCAGTCTATATATCAATGAGTCTGTGCTTCAGGCAGTCCACACACTCAGGAAGACATCGCTGTATCAGGTCACATTCAGAACATTTGGGGTTAGGTGTTTAGAATGTTTCTAAGGGTTTGAAATGATGCTGCTGACACCAGTGATGTCTTTGTGTTCATCCTACCTTTTATAAAGCTGAAAGACTACTAGGCCATAACTATTTTCTAGCTATTCACCACAACTTAATCAACTTTGTATAGTGAAGAAAATAATGACTACGCATTTACACTATTATTCTAACTACAGCACAGCAGTGAGACATAATTGGTCCTACTTAGCCCTTCCTGGATAAAAATAAGCCTCACCTGGCTTATTTAAAAATCTGCATGACAGCTAAATGAGCAGTCAGTACAACATTTGGCATTTCTAGGCACTGAAAAACATCTGTAAGATGCTCAGCCAGTGGTACAGTTCTAGCTGAAGAATTATACAAAAGTCACAAAAAGAAGTAGTTGAGTTCCACAGGAAGCTTGCCTAGACAGTATTATTGGTACTAAAACTTTCATTTTTCCTTGTGAGATTTTTCCAGTTACCCATGCTCTCTCTCTGTAAGGAGCCATGTATTCTAGTGTCCTGATTTCGTCTGGGATAGAGTTAATTTCCCTCCTAGTAGCTGGTTTAGTGTTACGTTTTGGATTTAACATGAGAATAATGTTGATAACACACTGATGTTTTAGTTCTTGCTAAGTAGTGCTTACACTAAGTCAAGGACTTTTCAGCTTCTCATGCTCTACCCACTGAGAAGGCTGGAGATGCACAAGGGGGGCACAGCCAGGACAGCTGACCCAAACTGCTCAAAGGGATATTCCATACCATATGATGTCACGCTCAGGAGAAAGCTGGGGGGGCTGCTGCTTGGGAACAGGCTGGGCATTGGTTGGTTGGTGGTGAGCAATTGCTTTTCATTTGCATCACTTGTCTTTTTTGCGTTTTATTTCTCTCTCTTTTTGTTATTTTCCTTTTCATTACTATTTTTTAATTATTATTATTATTATTCCATTATTAAACTGTTCTTATCTCAACCTAGAAGTGTTCTCACTTTTACTCTCCTGATTCTCTCCCCCATCTGATTGAGGGGGGAGAGGGAGGGAAGTGAGCAGCTGGGATTAAACCACGACATCTAGTGAAAACTTAATTAATTTCCCTGGAGCATTTGGTCAAACCTCACATTCCTCCCTGTGGAGAATTTCACTTTTCAGATTTTGCCACCATACCTAAAATAATTCTGTCTGGAATTTATCTGTTGCTACTATTTGTCTTTCAGACTTCAGGCTCCACTGTAATAAAAATGATGCAAAACAGGAAGAGCCACAAAGCAAAAAACCCGACCCAATAAACTAC